AACCCCCCTTCCCGGGGGGGGGCCCCCCTTCCTGGGGCCCCCCAAATACCCCCCGGGGCTTTGCCGCTGGGAAAGGGAGGCCCCGGGCCCGGGGAAACCCCGGGGGTCCCCCCCCGGGTTTGGGGGGGGGGGGGGGACAAGGAAGCAAAAAGATAGGCCCACACGGATTCGGTCAGCCCCCCCCCCCCCCCCCCCCCTCCCACGAAGAGAAATAGCCTACCCGCAGCACCAGTACGCCTAATTTTATCATCTTTGTCCCCACCCCCTCTCTGTCCCTCTGTCTCTGTCTCTGTCTCTCCCTCTCTCCCTCTCTGTCGGTCTGCCTGTCTGCCTGCCTGCCCGTCCCTCTCTCTCTCTCTCTCTCTCTCTCTCTCTCTCTCTCTCTCTCTCTCTCTCTCTCTCTCTCTCTCTTCCTCTCTCTCGCTCCCTCTGTCGTTCCCTCTGTTTGTCTGTCGTTTCCTATGTGTGCCTGTCTATCCCTCTCTCTCACACACACACACCTGCGGTACAGGAGTAGCCCAGCTCGGAACGCACGGCGGCCCTGAGCCTCGAAACCACCGCCGCGCCGCAGCTGAGGAGCTCCTGGTCTCGCGTGAACGCCTCCTGAGTCCTGGCCCACCAGGAAACCCCATCAGCGAGCTGCTGCTCCTTTGATGCATGGTCGTCGCTCAAGCCGGCAACCTTCGGTTTCGGCCCAGAAAATATATTCGACAGCAACTATAGTTAGCCGTGGCAGGCAGAGAGAGTAGCGAAGAGGAAGAAAGAGCAAGTCTGTTTGAGCGCAAGCACGTAGATAACATCGTGTGCGTACGTGACGGCTGGTTGGCTTGGACATGTGCATCCGGCAAAAGCTGCGATGCCGCTGGTGTTGGAGAGAATGGCGTCAATGTCGTAGCCCATGCGAATCGAGCGTGTCTCGAAAAATACTGTTTTTCGTCTGAATTGATGACGGTAGTAAGAAATCAACATCTAGACATCCCCGCGATGACCGTGCGTGTCTTGGAAAATATAGGTTCTTGTCTGAATACGGATTGGTAGACATTTAACGATACAACGAAACATCCCACTGGCAATCGGCCGCGTTGAAACTCACATGAGTGGTTGCAGTTGCCGACAAGACGGCAGTCCACCCCCCCTCACCGATGTCCTCCCATCGCTTCTTACTGACCTCCCCATCCTCCATCGGCGACGCTGCTGGCGGGGCTTTGCTTCCCTCTTCAGCGCTTGCACCTTTCCCGTCCTCATCCTGCTGCTGATGCTGCTGCGGCTGATCGCCGCCGCTCTCGCTGTTGTGGCTGCCAAGACTCGACAGGAGAGCGTGCGCAGCACGCGTAACGTCGACGTAAACCTCGTCGATCGAGGCCTTTTCGACGGTGGTTAACGCACCCCCCGCGCGCTCGAGGACGGCCACCACTCTCTCGCCCGCGTGTCTAGCGAGCGCGGGGCGGGGCGGTACAAGAGAAAAGACGCGGGCAGGCGGGGGTAGGCTGAAGATGGAGTAATTGGTATGGCAGGTGCCTCATATCAAACTGAGCGCTTGCTTTCCCGAGTGTTTTTCCTGGGTCTACTCGATAGCTCGATCGCCAGAATCGGTAGGTTAGGTCCGTGCCGACGAGGGCGACCGAAAGCAGCCACGCAAGCAGTCCTCGACAGAACCCCCCCCCCCCCCCCTCGCGTGTACCTGTAGAACGAGATGTCCGCCTTGCCGTTGCGAGTGGGCACCTGGACCAGGGACAGCTCTGGGCAAACCTTGCGAGCGTCACCGGCCTTCATGCCGCGCTTCACCTGATGTTCGACGTTTATGCACAACGATTAAACCAAAGCAAAAATTTGGCTACGGCTCGGGAAGCTTTCGAGGGCACATTGGCTTCTTCGTCATATGCGTCAAAGCTACTGGTATGGAATGACAGTGCCTTTCGCGGCTAGGGGCACCCTGGCTGCTAACCTCTTACAAACCGGGCACGCCCCTTCCATCTGATAGTAAAATGAGTTTAAACACCGAAGCTTCATCTTCGATTAAGGTGAGAAATACTTCCGTCATGTGTTCAACCAAAGGCCGCAATCTAGACCGCAGACGGTAACCGTGACTTGTGCGAGGCGAAATCCTGCGCTAACGTTGGCGACCGTCCATGTGTGGAGGATTGTGCGAGTTTAAGATGCACGTACAAGACACCCAAGAGCATGGTCGTACACCCCAAGTTGGTATGCCCGTCATCATTTCAGGGGCTGTGATGCTTAATGAATAGACGCTTTGATAGAATAACCGGGTGGAAGGAAGGAGCCGGGACTGCCCCCGAGCTGGCCAGCTGACGTCGGGGGCTCCGTACAATCATCCTCGGACGCGCTGCCCCATGGGTACCTATGCAGAACACCTGCGTGCAATCCTCTCACCCCGAAAGGACGAGCCTCGTAGCTGACGGCGATGATGGAGCTAGCAGAACCTTCCACCACGCGGTTGTCGTCCGGCGCCATATCCTTGATGTCGTGATTAGATGTTGGGTACTGAACCACCACGACGGGCCTGCCCGTCAAGGCGGCGTCTCGGAGCTTTCCGCCGTTTCGGCGAAGGTTCAAGATGGGGTGTGATGGATATAGATCAGTTTGTGTCAGGGATAACTACTTGCGCATGGTATGTGAGCGATGTAGCAACCCTACAGATTGCGGTCGGTGTGCCCGCGAAAATGGCTCACGTTGTAGTAGAATGTCTAGCAATGGTATCAGAAGAGCTTCACGTGTGGTGCGATACTACTGCGGTAGACAGCCAGCTTGCAACATTGTCGTTTTTCACAGTACAGCAGCAGTAGAAACGCTCAGATACCTCATCCAGCACGTCCTCCCCGTACGCTTGAAACTACAGTCTGTTTGGCTTGCCGTGAAGGAACGCGTTTCGTATGGCCGCGTTTCTTGTGTTGGCGTGACTCTTCAAATTAAGAGAACCCTCTGGTACCACAGCAGTATGACAATGGAAGCACAGCAGCAAGGTGCTTCGTACAGAATAACAACGGGAGCAGCACAACAAAACTGTCGTTGTATTCATTCACGTATGCATCTGCATCGTATGGGATGTGTTCGAGGTCCATCCCATTCCCAGCCTTGTTCACCTGCTCTATCTGAGCGTAGAAGGCATCCATATCGATGTGCGCGATGACTCTCAGTGGTTCCTTCAACGCCGGCGCAAGCCCACGACCCCCACCGGCAGACACAGCGGACCCCCCTGTCCACCCGCTTCCAGCTGCTGGTGGAATTTTCGACGTTGACGACTTCGTTGCCGATGTCGCCATCCTGATGACTCCTTCCAGCGGAGGATATGGAGATGTTCAAATTTCAAATTCGCTGGGACAACGCGCGCGCACTTTTCCCCCCCAACTCTTCTAGGCTCCTGCTGGAATTCGCCGTGCTCAGATGAAAGAGGGGCGGGGGCGTCCAAAAGGCACTTGCTAGCACCAACCTGCTGTCGTGGCGAAGGCCTGCTGTTGATGAGGTGCAGCAGTCGGGAGTCACACCGCCTCGACGCCCGACCCTTTCCGTCTCTCTCAATTCAACAACAATAGCTTCTTTCTTCGCAATCGACCAGCTCTTGCTGAATCGTCGCTCCTTTCAGTCCTGACCACACCCAGCGGCACGATAAACTCTCTCTCCAGCGGTACCGATGTACCGGTTACACTGCGCAGCACACACATGGCAGTGCACACAGCATGCCTGCTGAAGCAATACATGGGGCCCAGGTGATGAGCTTTGTGCGGCGTGACTCCTTGCATCCACGGTGCCCCTCTGTTTGTTGTGCGCACCCTGGTTGCACTGCTCAGCGCTGTTCAGGGTTCTCCTCCGGACAACGACCACCTCCCAGGGATCAGGTATTTACCTTGTTTCATTTCTGTATGCGATCAAGGCAAACATTGCAGCATTGCTCGGGAATCGACAATGCAAGATACATGCGGCGTAACTACACCGCTTGATTGTAGACTGCGGATAGGAGATGGGAAGTACTCTTGCATCTCTGCATCGCCTACCTGCTACGGCTGTACACAACACAGTTGCTCCTACTGTTGCTGTCTACTCAAGTTTAAAGGTGGTACTCTTTGGCATGTGCTGTCCGTTGTTTCTCTGCCACTGCGTTTCTGTCTAAGCTCTAAACCTGCTGTCTGCCGCATGGTACTACTGTCGGCAGTGTTCGGATCCGCCGGCATCGGTCTATTGAGTCATCATGTCGGGGGCTACTATGGCGAGGGCCAACTTCAAGAAGTACACAGACATCACGAATCCACTGGTGAGCGAGCAAACCGCGTACCCTTGTTCCAGAGGAATAGGATCGAAAGTTTGAAGTGTTCCGTTTTCCCGCATTTTCTTTTCCGTTTCCACTCATCCACGTGTTGCTCTCTCTCTCTCCAGCATACGAGACTACCGACTTCAATCTTGGGACGTAGACTGTCCATCCACATGCACACTGGCTGTATCTGTGCGTGCACCAGGTTTTGCCAGCAGAAGGTTCTCTCCAGCAGACCTCCTGCGGCAGGCATGCTCTAATCGGTAAAATTAGACCATCCGGCTAGTCAGCGCTGACTGAGTAGTCTAATGGGTAAGCCTTTCTAACAAAAGATATACTCTCGGCTCGTTGCCATCCAGCTGGTCACTGTGATATTTGCAAGTAGGGATCTCCGGGGACGGACCCCTCGCCATACGCTGCTGTTCTGTCAATGGTAATTCTACGCAAAGAAAAGTGATCCAGCCGGTATTCGAACTTCGTGCGGGAATCCTCTAATTGCGGAACTAGACCATCCGACAGCGCTGACTAGCTGATTGGTCTATTTCCGCGAATTAAAAGATATGCTCAGACGGATAGGTTGCTGCTCCGGGAGAAGGCGACTGGGGCGGGGCATGGGTGGAGTGCTGCTGCTGCTGCGGCTGAAACGACGGCGGTGGCGGAGGCTGCGGTGGTGGCTGCTGCTGCTGGTAGTACGGTGTCGGAGGCGGGTAGTACGGCTGCTGCTGGTAGTAGTCTGGCGAAGGCTGCTGCTGCTGCTGCTGCTCCCACCCGCCATACTCGGTACCATTCGCGGGCCCCCCGTAGGGCATAGCACTATACGCATGCATCACATTAGCATGCCCGTACGGAGGCCGCCAAGGCGGTTGTGGCGGACGAGGGGGGGCTGAATACCTGTGCTGATGCTGTCCTCCGTAGCCGCTGTGAGGTCCGTGCTGAGGCCCACCGCCCCAGCCCCCCCCACTGTAGCTCGGCTGCTGCGGCGGCGGTCCGTGAAGTTGCTGTCGCTGAGGCTGCTGTTGCTGAGGCTGCTGTTTCTGAGGCTGCTGTTGCTGAGGCTGCTGCTGTTGGGGCTGCTGCTGCTCCTGCTCCTTCTGACGGTCGCGCTGAGTGTAGCACTGGGCGTTGGTGTGGAACAAGCGCGGATGTAGGTAGCAGTGGTCGTTGTCGGCTCCTCTCTCACCTCCGCCTTTCTTGTTTCCTCTCACCCTACTCCTGCTCCGGCTCCGGGCGCCTCCGTCTCCGTCCTGACCCCCGCCGTTTCCACTCGACCCATTTTGGACACGTCCATCGCCCCGGATGCCACCGGAAGCGACGAACGCGTGCCCCGCGCCATTCTTCGGTTCCCCCTCCCGACGGCGAACCGAGTCCGCATGAGCATCTCGCACAGCCTTTTCAATTGTCTCGCGCGAGGGGGGAATCGGTGACATCGTCAGAATCTTCTTCTCTACCATGTACTCGTCGGAAAGGTGGTATACCATGTGGGCATTGGCATCATCCTCGGAGAAAACAATACCGTGCGAGGCTAGCCTACTGCGCAAAACAGCAAATCTCCCAAAGTATTCTTGCGGGGTCTCTCCTACTTTCATTTCAGTCTCTCCTACTTTCATTTCAAGAGCGTGATATTGAGATGACAGCCTTTCTTTTTCGGCCGTTGCACGCGGCTCGTAATAGTCAAGGAATATCTTCCAACCTCCACTTGGACTACCATCGGCGATGATCTGGGTCAGGATTGGCATGTATGTCAAAGTCGTGATCAGGTTGGTTCCACGCCGTTATTGCCTTTTCTACTCTTTCACTCGAATGCACCCTACGCATCTCTTCCATGCTCGCGCCTTCTTTTCCGACTGGAATCTTTTCTTCAGTCAGCACCACGTCACGCACTCCTTCCTGGGCAAACATAGCTACCATGTTCGATCGAAAAATAAAAAACTTAGCCTGCTCATCCTCCCCTTGCTTAAATACACCATCCCAAGGCGCTAGGCGCTTAGTCTCAGTCATTCTAACCGTCCCTGCGTTAATGGGTACTCTACCCATGTCCCCTGATGAGACGTGAAGTCGACCGGTGAGGGCGTCGGCGAGTGTGCGGGCGATTTCGTCGGTCGTCGGGTTGGCCGATGGCCGCCCCGCGTGTTGCTGGTGGCGATCCTCGTGCTCTCTTCCGGTCCGGACGTCATCTGTCCTCCGCTCCTCGGCTCGTTGCCTCGAAATCTCGGCCAGTCTTGCTTCTACCCTCTGGTTGACCAAGTCGTTGATCCGGGCGTCCTCCTCTAGTCGGGCGGTATTCGATGGTAATTCTACGCAAAGAAAAGTGATCCGGCCGGTATTCGAACTCGTGCGGGTATCCTTTACTTCGCGGAACTAGACCATCCGGCTAGTCAGCGCTGACTCGATCTTGCTCGGTGTCGCTCATCGGTGGCTGCTCCTGATCGCCGCAAAGCGATACTCCAAACTAAGCTCGACTCGAATCTCGTAGACGACGTGTCACACGCTAGCGTAATCGATAATTTGGACGGCCCGTCATGGCCGAGCTGCTCTACGCTCCCATCACACACAACTGAGCCACCCGAATTATCGATTATGCTCCACTGAGTTGCCCACTTGCTGCTCAATTCGTTCGTTACACTGGCGGTGTTGACCCGCAGGCCGCCGGACAGACCGACACTCCTGACGGGAGCACCAGCACCGACGCGTGGCGCGACTCAGAAAACGTGAAGTCGGGCCGCCAAAAGGAGGAGGGGGAGGAGGATGAAGCAGAAGAAGAAGAGGACCCGTTTGGCCTGGGATCTATCATGTCCAAAGCCGAAAAAGACGATGAGGAAGAGGAACAGGAAGAGGAACAGGAAGAGGAAGAAGACCCCTTTGGCCTTGGAGCCATCATGGACGAACCAAACAAGGACGCTGACACCTCAACCAATAAACGCAGCGGCAGTGGCGCGGACGAACCCCGACAGAAGAAGGCGCAAAAGACGACAGCTGACGGTACAACCGGCGGATACTTCAAGGGAACGACGTCGTTGACATCCGCCCAATCTTCAGTGGCGGAGGCATCGCGACAGCCATTTCGGGCCGCGGACTCCTTTAGCGGCGCACGGAAGGGCTATGTCTTCCAGAAAGGTCCTCTGGGTCTGGGTTACTACGCGGACAGGGTTCAGATTCGCGCAGCAGCGGCTGCGGATGCCGTGGTGGCAGCATCGAGAGCTAAGAGCCGAGGGCCAGAGGCGCGAGGTTCTGGAGGAAGGCCGGAGACGGAGGGCCGTGAGAAAAAAACGCAGACGGTGGACGTGGCAGCCTCGCTGCAGAAACTCAAGGTGTTCATTCTGAAGCCCAAGAAAGCGGCGAAAGCGGCGTCGCTCATGGCAGACCTGATGGAGGCGCATTTGCGTCCGGAGAATGCCCGGATGTTTTTCAGGTATGTCAATGAAAAGGTGACCCACACCGCTCCTTTGTGCAACCAAGATGGTATGCATCTTATCCCGCACAGCACGTCCCGCTGTTTCCTGTGGTAATGGGTCACGTTGACCGTATCCTGTGGTATGGAATTCCTACAACAGTTGCTTCGTTTGCCTATGCGTCGAACCCCGAGGTCGGTGACGACCTAAACCTGCCAACTTATCTTCTGCCTTTTATTCCCCAACTCCACTGCAACCTCGCCGCCTTTTTTCCTGTTCTCGTCACGTCTTCAAATTCGGGTAGGGCGCTCAAACCCCTTGCGGAAGAACCGGCTGGCGAAGCGGCTCTTGCCGCCGGGGAAGGAGGCGCGAGAGCGTTTCGAAAGCTCGCGCAGAGGGCATCGGAGTGGGTTGGAGCGCCGTCGGAGGGGGTGCGGGCGGTGACCTGGGAACTCCTCTTCGGGTTGCGGCATGACGTGAGGTTTTCGCGAACGATGATAGGTGTTTTGGTCGTCCTATTCCTTGTCTTTCTGTAAACATGTGCGAAGCCGCGACTATAGTTAAGCGGAGCCCTGCGAACTCTGTTCACCGAACGATGAGTCTCCTTTGGCTCCATGGGGACAGTGTGAAAGCAGTGAGAAAGTACCCCGCTCATCTCACAAACTCTTACCCACTCCCCACCACGCGCCCCGAAACAGACGAAGACGGATGACTCGTTTACATTCGCTCGCGCCATCAAGCGCCTCCGTGAAGCCATCGAAGCCTTAGGCGGCGTCACGGGTGGGGGCAAGGCCACCGACGGTACTGCCGGCGAAGGCGACGATGGTGAGGGAACCGGGTCGGCGGGAGGAAACAGGGTCTCGCTTTCCTTGGAGCGCAAAACGGCGCTAATCTTGGTCATGAAAGAGGCGTTCAAGAGCTACCACCTGGCATGGGCGAGATCGTCGATTGAACCAGCCTTCAAGGTGAGGATTAGTTATGGCAGGGCAACGACATGCGTTTTAATGGCATATTGGTTGCCGGTAGCTTGAGTTCCGCCAAGTAGTGTCGTCCTGTTGAGCTGTGACGCTCCTGTGTTGAGGGCTGATGTGGTTGCCTCTACGACTTTCAGGCATTCTTGAAACAGACGACGTAGGCTGGTAGGTACTTGTTCATCCCATCGATCACCTTCCTCCCGAGACGCGACCAGTTCGTTTTTCTGTTTGCTCCTGAGTCGCGGACTTGCGCGCCGTATTGCCCGTTGCCTAGGCGGCGGCAGATCGCCGGCGACTCTTCCCGGAGGGGGATCTGCGCGACACGCTGGACGATTTCACCGACGCCATCACCAAAAGGCAAAGAAACCCTGGAGGGTTGATGGCTCCACCTTCCAGATCGGTGAGTCTTCGCCGGGAGTTACGCGGTGGGGGCGGGGTTCTACGCTCTCCCTTGCCGTATCCTTCACATGCAAACGTCAACATAATGCCGCCTCACGACTTTACACTCGTACACGTTTCGTGGGGAGAAGCGGTGCCCTCTCCCGGTTCTGGATTCAGCAGCGTCGTGAAGGCCGCTTGTGCTTGTAACCTCCCCCTCCCCTCTCGCCGCCGTTGTATGAACAGGTCAGAGCCCACAACAGCACGGCGCATCCGATGCTCAACAAGCGCTCGGACGTCATCCGTTGACAGACGAGTCAGACACTCAGCTCTGGTGGAGCTTTGAAGAGGGGGGGGGGGGGGGGGAAACACGTCTCCGTCCTTACCACCATTTTGCAAGGGGGAACCGTGTTCGGATGCTTACCCAAACTTCCTTCGTTGGTCCAGATTGGTTCGTGTTTGAATGTGCAGTAGTCTTGCGTAAGGTGTTCGACAGCAATTCTATCCGGGGATCAAAGGCGGGCTAAATATTTGGACGATGGGTATTTTAAGGGACTGGGGGATGAAGCGTCCTACTCTGCCATACTGTACTGCAATGCATGGTCTATGGCTGGTGTTTCGAGAGAGAGGGAACTCGAGACGAGGGCAGGGACGCTTTGGACGTGATGAAAGGGTCCGAATTTGGGCCTTCGCCTTTGAAACAATTACTTGTTCGTCCACGTAGCCACAACGACGTCAGCACATGGGACATGATGGAAAATGTCGTGGATGGACTACTGTACCACGGTATCATGTATCGGAGACGATTACCGTCGGAAGATCGGGGCTTGGGAAACCAAGTGCAAGTCAGAGGTGCAGCACATTTTCCAGCCAGGGGAGCCAATTTTCTGGTGCAGGCATTTCACTTTCTGCCTGTTTCGCAGAGCACAGGACACCCACAACCACAAGCCACAAAAAATGCGCCACGACGTACAACATCACGTGTGGCGACCTAAAGCACAACCGACACACGCACGACTATTTCTACCAAGCTCATCAGCGGCAACCACGCCTGGCAGAGAAGTCCACAAAAGGTCAGCGTCAACCAGGGATTTCCACCAATCAAACCGTACAATCGTTGTGGCGACCTCCACACAAACGACACAACACAAGCGTTGTTGTGCTTGGAGGCCGTCACTGCGAGAGACCTCCACTGTAACCCACGCCCAGATAAAGGATTTCAACCAATCAGAAACACCCGCAGTTCACACCATGCAAGCAGTCAAGAGATCGTCCTCCTCTGCTGACATTATCCGACCATCTGGGCTACACCCTGCACGCACTCCCCGAGCTTCTTGGCGGGCATGATGCCCACAACGTATCGCTGCTGCTGTCCTCCACCCCCCCCAGAAGCTGACCCGCCACCGCCGCCACCGGCCTGAGAGGCGCAACCCATCGGAAAGAAGAAATCCGCTTCCTGAGAGAACCACAAAAGAGTATTGAGAACATCGCAGGGAAGATTAGTCCGCGAGATGTTGGCACACAAGGCAAGAGGTTTCACGACCCAAGTAGTTGGCAGTCAAATGTGCAAGGCGTGCCTCTGCAGGGGGGACAATTCCCTGATGCGTACATTGTACCAGAACTCGTTCACTGACAACGATAGGTACGAATTAATTCACCACCCGGCTACCAACTCCTACGCAGGGTGTACCACAAAATCTGCCTTCGATCAACGTACAATTCCTTGTCCTGCGGCCGGATATCCACGTTACCCCCCACTCCTACGCCATATCTACCCTATCCATCGCCCCTCTCGTCTTTCCTACAAGCGAATAAAGCAAGAGGTGAATTCCTCACCTTCAATGCCGCTGGCGGCACCGCTGTCAAGTACAATACCCTATATCCGTTTGGTCACAGGCATTCACTTGGCACGCAGACCGGAAAAACACAAACTCGCGTAAAAACTGAAACCCACAAAACACACACACGTCGCCACGAACCTGAAGCAACACCTCGTCGTCGAACCTCGAGAAGTAAAAGTCTGACAGCATCGCCAGCCCCGGGCCCGCCCCTCCCGCGTCGTCACAGGGCGCGACCACGATGAACTTGTCGAACCGAAACTTTTCGCGGTGCTCCTCAGAAATCTTCGAGGCACAGCAAGGGCGAACAAAAAACAAAAAAAAAGAGGAAGGGCGCAGCAGGGATGACAAAAGAAAGAGCCAGGAGGTCGTTAGGCACGCGGTGTGTGTGCGAGGGAGCACATACCTGAAAAAAACAGTGCGAAATGCGCCAGTCTCACCACACGATCCAAAACTGCAATGATCCCAGGTGGTTCGTGTACGACGCACAGTTATTTTCGAACAAGTTTCCGTTCAGCGCGGAGCAAAAACAACCAGCTCCTGGCCCCTGTTGTGAGGCACAAAAAATAAAAGTGTTTTTCAGAATACATGGGACGGAACATCGCGACTAGAGACAACTTCCCAACCTGTATGCATTCATCCAAGATGGTGTAATCACGCGGACCGTAGATACTGGCGTCATTCGACCGGCAGAGAAAGGAAAAAAATTACCTCGTTTTCGATCGCCCAGGCGATATCCTCCACCAACGCCTCGTGCAGCTTCGGCACCGCCTGCATGGGGCAGTTGATCATGCGCTCGCTCACTAACAGGCCCACCTTTTCTTGGGTTCCCTAACGCCGTAAAAAAAAACGGGCGGGATGAAAGACGTTCGGGTAGGACGAGCAGACAAGGAAAAAAAAAAAAAGAGGGTGTGGTGGCGGGTCCTCGTCGCGAACCATGTTTGTCGAGGATGGGCAATAAACATAATTGCCCGTTGTAGACTCTGCCAAACTTCGAGCACCGAGAGCGCAAAACGAGAGCGCGCTGGAGCGCGCTGAGTTCAACCGTTGTTAGTAGATCGCCGCTTCGTACACCGACCGAGCACTTCAAAAACACGCCAATAGGTGGTTGAGGAACCACGAGCGGCTTCCTCGTCACGCGCTCTTTCAACCATAGGCAGGGGCTAGCAAAAATACGCTCAAGACAGCTCGAGAGAAAAAAACACGTGCGCGGTGCGGTTGCGGACAAAAAAAACAAAGCTTTGGGAGTGCGGCGATAGAAACTGGGTCGGGAGAACAAGGCGATCACGTGGAAATGACTACTGGGACTTTTTTTCTCTCGCACGGATGCGGTAGGTGCCAGCAGTGCGCACTAGACCTGCCAGGAATGAGTTTCCCTCTCCATGCTATCGTCAAATGAGAGGGCACGCACATCTCCGGCAACACATGTCTGTGAAGTTGCATTGAGAACATCGAACGACATCGGTCCGGTGTTCCCTTCTACAAAAGTTCTGAGTACATAAAAAAGAACAGCTTCATGCAGTCGGCCGCACCCACCTCTCCGAGAACCTCCTCCATCTCTGAGCCCCGGCCCGCCTTCGACGCCTTTTCCAACAAGAATTTCGTCACTGCCTGAGACAGCGTGGGCGGGACCGCAGGGGCAGGACACGAAAACAGACAACCCAAATGCGCATGTTACGGTGCAGCCAGCACCAAAGCGATAATGACGGCAATATTCTGCGCGGAGAAAGGTCCGTAGGACGTGTATTACGTAGCAAGAGACGAGCAAATATCGTCTTTCCACAGCTTCACAGCACCTATCTCGGGGCCCATGCCAACACCCCCACAACAGGAACACAATACTGATGGTAACCTTTTAGGGCAAATACTACAATGTCACCTGCACGCATTCATGTTCTTTCGCGAGGTACTTGAGGGGGAGGGCCGTGACGAAGCCAAACACCGCGTCGTCGTCCGCATCGGTCGACAGCACCGTGCCGACCGCGCCCTGAGCGACGGCGAGATCGACCAAAGGCGACAGTCCCGCGCCCGCTGCCTCCTGGAGGTAGGAATGCGCAAGTAAAGCTCTACGAAAGGGCGACACGCATGCAGTAGACAGAAAGGGCGAAATACAGATCACCAAACGCGACAAGGAAAAATCACGGTATGGTGCAACGAAGGGGGGGGGGGGGGGGGTTCCTGAAGCAAGAACGTGCTATGAAGCCTTCTCATTTCTGGATCGCGGCGGCAAGCTAAGATTCAAACGCCGGCGGCCAAATTCCGTCGACGCGACTACAATCCATGCTACAGCATCAGCCGTGTGTGTGAACACAAACAACCTCAAGACGCAGTGGAGACAACAGGATGAGCTTCCGAACCGTACCTAATGCCGTGAAAAAAACGCTCGTGAGGGTCGCAGAAGTCCAGACAGACGTCAACGACGGTCTGCTGGTCACCCGCTGCCGTCGCTCCTGATCCGGCGGCCTCTTCCTCTTCCTCTTCCTCCTCTTCCTCATCGTCCTCCTCAGCATCCGACCGGCGCGTCAGAGCCCCATCGAGCTTGATGTCATCATCGCTGTCATCGCTCTCTTCAGCGCTGTCATCATCCCCGCCTTTCAGAGCAGTCGTGGAGTGAGGACATCGAGGCGGGGGGATAGGAGAGCTTGTTTTTCATGTGCCTTCGAAGGCTTTCGGCCCACCTGGTGAGACATTGTGTCGTGCGCCCGACCGGCCCTGTCACGTGCGCGTAGTCTATGCCCATTACGTCCAGACATCAATCGCACAGCATGCGCGTGCAAGCCAGCACATGCAGCGTTGGTTGGACTGAGCCGTACCCATGCTGCCAACGTCTATGATGGCCAAGGCGTGGTGATGGTGTCGTTAGCGTGCAGCACGCATACATACGGAAGTACGTACAACAAGCACCCCAGCAGAAGAGCACGTCTCGGAACTCTCTCTGCTCTCTATATTTATTACAGGAAGCATGACCGCAAATACCCTGGCGAGGCATGCACAGACATGCTTGAACAGACATACCTTTAGAAGAAGCATCGCTACCATCGCTATCCTCCTCCTCTACTGGTCCCTCGTATCCTTCCTCCTCATGAGCCTTCTTCTTCCTCTTCCTGCCGCTGTTGCAGCTCGCACCGCCGCCACCCCAGCTGTCCTCCTTTTCGCTTTTTTTGCGCCCAGCGGCTCCCTTTTCTCCGTTCCCCTTTGCCTGCCGTGCTTCCCCCTTCTCTGCCCCAGCGACCTTGTCTGTTCGTCTAGGCAGCTTCTTACAAGCGACTCCCTCGGCTCCTGTTTGCGCGTCGGCAGGACTCAAGCTCGCATCTCCCAATCGCTGCTGCTGGCTCTCCGATCCATTCTGCTGCGTTTGTCCCTTCTTCTTTTTCTTATCACCTGCTTCCGAGCCTCCTTCCCCACCACGTCCACGTTTAGCCATGACCAGAGAATCAACACAGCCCACGTCCTTTGTGTCCGACGCAGAGGAGGCGAGGAGGCGATGGTGTTCGGTGTTCGGCACCATCGACCATGCGGCGCAATTCCACACGGTCACACGAGGAGGCTACGCGACTAAGAGTATGAAGTGAGTAGGGGAGCGCTGCATGCGTACCCCCCTCGGTTGCCTCGCTGCCGCTGCAGCTGCTGCAAAGCCTGCTCTATTTCCTCTCTCCTCTCTCGACCCCCTGCCAGACCAATCGAACCACCCCCATCAACCATGAAGGCGTGCGCTTTCATAGCTGCCCTGGTAGCTTGCGCGACCAAGTCGCTGGCTTTCGTGGCCCCGCTTCAATCATCCACCCTGACCTTCTCCAGCCCCCGCTCAAGCCTCGCGGCAGCAGCAACAGCAACATCACCAGCGGTGAGTCACGACCATGCACGCAGAGAGGCACACAACGGGAACCGCTTTGGGCGGATTGAAGGGTGGTGCGATCATCGAGAGTTGGCGGCAGCTGTGTTACCGCTGAAGCCTGTGCGGGGCTCTGGTGGATGTCGGTGTGTGTGTCAGAAAAAACATGAGCGGCGGCCCTGACGGATGACACCACGCAGCATGTCGGGGAGGGGGGGGTGGTGGCAACGAGCTCATGGTCATGGCTTCGGATACTAACACGTGTAGGGTGGGCGGCGGGAAGTGAAAGGCCAAGCGTTGCTTGTAGTCCTGCCCTTTTTGGTTTAAAGTGGTGGTATTGATGTCGTCATCAAACCAAGCTTTTTCTTCGCGCTGCATCTGCTGTGTATTCTGTAACAGCAGCACAATGTTGCATACAGCAGCATTTACATGTACTTGCTGTTCTACGGGTACAGCTACACTACCCTGGTACGTTGCATACCTTGGGAGGCAAAGGCGTTGATCTGACTCCTTATTGTCGATTACCGCAGCCGGCGTACAGAGGGGGGGCTGTGTGGGGTGTTGACGTGCCAATTACCACACAGAGCTGCTAATGCTACGGGGTGACAATACATCCAATTTTGGCTGTATTTTTACCCCAAGAAAACTACAACAATGGTATGCTACAACCAGACGAATTCCGAGGCCAGCGTGTTAACTCATTGTTAGCCAATAGGCCCACAGGCAGTTCATCACTCATGCCTCATGAGCGTATTTTACAGGCGCACTTGAGTCGAAGGAGGTACGCTGTTGGATGGCACGACCATAACTGGGCGTTCATGAGTAATGTCCTTTTTGTCGATCCATAACAAGCACGAACGAGAGCGCTACATTCGGCCGCAGCGTTGGTCACCACACCGCCCGAAGTGTCCCCGATTGAAGACCCCTCGGCTGGTGTCGATTGATGGCACATAGGCAGGATAACGATAGCAAGGACCAACAAGAAGGAAATTCGAAAACTCAAGGGTACAAATAGCTGATCGTGAAGACAAGCCCTCTTTGCTTGGTTGTGTCCGAGGCCACCCAGGGTACTCGTACGCCTCAGTCGTCTCTTGATGCATGTATCTTCGGGGAAAACCTGTGAAATTCGAAGCGCGTGGGTGTTACGTAGCTTCGAAATATACCTGATTCTTCTCTCCCGACCGAGCGCGGGAGAAATTTTGAGGAGACAAGCGTCGAAGAACGCCCACTCTCTTCCTTGCTCGAGAATTGTTCCTTCTCTCGGTACCTGCATTTGGCCGCCAGTCCCATCCCGTTTTTGAGGTCGGGTCCGAACGTCGGAACCGAAACGCGTCATTGTCGTAGTATGGTGTCGACACGTCAACGTCGACTCTCGTATTCTCTCGCCCCTCATTCTGTGGTCGACCTATTGCCCCCTCGCGCCGACGTCGTCGTTGTTGTCAACGAAAAGCCGGCGGCACGGCAAGGCGTGTCGGGCATCTCGATGAAGCGCAAGGGCAAGCCGAACACGAACATCGCGCAACGAGGGAGCTTCAACCAGATGCAGCAACAGGTGGCCCCCCCGCGATAAGTGTCTCTCAGTCATCACACGAGCGAGAGAGTTACCAAGAGTGCCTGGCGTTCATGACGTGACGCGTTTCTTTTTTTGGCACCGGATTATCTTCGCGTCCGAACGTGAATAATATGCGAGCGATTTGAGCTTAATATGTGGGATAGATGAGCTCACTTTTCAGTTTTTGGCGGTAGATGACTCGTTGCAGTCGACACAACGAGCTCAGCCTCGTCAAACACAACCCCGTCTTGAATGAATTTGATGCCTCGGTGCGTTCACGTTTTGAACAGGACATGCAATATCAGGAGCAGCGAAAGGCGATGCAATCGGGGATGCCATCTTTCCAGATCTATGTGCGAACGAAGGTCAACAACATGTGGTGAGCACCCGGAGCAGGGCTGACATATCGCTGTGTATACGGTGTGGTGCTCGAGACTTTTGTCCCCGTCACGAAGCCCTCTTCGAGCGAGTACTGAGGACGGAAAGGTCTACGGGAGGGCCGGTAGAGCCATGTGTAGGGGTGTGACTGGGCCGGGGGGGATGCTCCAGTGGGCAGGGGTGATGCCTTTTTCTGTATGTCCTCCGGTTGGGATTCATTGCATTGATGCTGCGGCGGGGCAAGGCCTATCTCCTGGACTTGACAATGCATGCGTCCGCGTTTGTATTGAGCCTGGTACGCTCCGTTTGTGCCGTACATCTGCTTCAGCTTTTTTCGCCCAACCCCTAGGCCGGTGTGGCACCCTCAGGCACGAAGATGAGACTCCCCCACGGGGATCGCACAAGCTAGGTAGGGGCGCGGGGAGCAACCTTACAAGCACGTACCGTGTTCAGGAGGGTTGGCAAGCCGATGCGAACGCTCTCTTTTGTCTGATCACTTTTGTTGGTGCTATGACACCACAATCAGTGGCAGCTGTGCGCACGCCAACGCTGTTCCATCCGCACCAACGCCTCCCCTCGCCGGCCAGGTACCCGTGCGGGCTGATGCAGGGAGACGACAAGGCAAAGGCAACGGTTGACGCGATGATATCGGGGCTGCTGAAGGACGTCTCCAAGTACTCGCTGGAGAAGGGGGTCGCCTCGAGCGTGCTGGCGAACCGGAAGGACCTCGTTCGACAGGTGTGTGGTGTGTGTGTGCGTGCGGCAGGGCGGGACGGTGTCGTGTAGCACGCCGGCATCCGAGTTTGGCCCCTGGGGGTGCTGTCGTGTTGCCCTTGGCGTCTCCGCCCTTTGCGACAAGAATGGAAGAAAGTTCCCTTCAAGAACGAGGTGCACCTTTTCTTTATGGAGGCCTTGACGTTTGCGAAGGACCAGACATCGACCAGCGAGCTATCCCTCGGTACTCGATCCAGGAACAGAAATCATGGAAAGAGCGGAACCACCCGCATATCCGACCGCGCTGCCACGCCGTACACACGGGGTGAATTTTCAAAGCTCTATTGCTCCATGGGTGCCAACTCTGAAGGATAGGTAGCAATTCGGGAAGGCTTCGATGAGACCTTTTCAACCACCCTGCACCGGCATTATTGTTCTCCTGTGGAGCAGTCGAGCTTTGAATATCAGGTCAAGGGGGGTCTGGTATACACAACCGTAGGAAGCCTGTTGAGGCCGCATGATTTTTGATCGCGATCACGAAGATGCCGAGGGCATGAAACGACAAAAAGCCGTTTTGAGAAAGTGGACAGCGGGGGAATTCAGCTTCCTCGCCAATGTTTCACGTCGATAATTCGCCCCATGCAGGTATCAGAGGAGGCACGCCGTGCAAGGCAATGATTCCAGACCCACAACGGAAAGAAAATTGTGTTGTGCATGGTCTGTAGCAGTTCAGGGTTGCGGTGGCGACAGTTCTTGTTGTTGTATTCAAGTTTAATGATGCTCGCTTTTTTCACGGTGTCTCCCCGCCCCACCCTGCTGCAGGTCAGCTCGGCGTATCCTCAGATCGCTGGAAAGGAGCTGACCTTTGGGTTCAAGGTCATCTACGCGGATCTGGTGAGCACGCGGCTTTCTGTCACCATTTTTTCGCTCCAGGTCTTGGATGATGCTGCGATGCTCGTGATGATGTCCGAATTGCGCTTACACCCCAGATTGCTGTCTACACGTGCATAGGAATCACATACAGCTGTTGGCCAAAGGGGATGTGTTTGCTACTCTTTCTTGTACGTTTATCGCATCTGTGGGGTTATTTTTTTTGCCCGTCCTAAAAATCTTTCGCGTTGCGTCGTTTGAAGGCGTAACAAGTTTCCGGACTATCTTGGCCGAGTCTCGTGGCATTGCGCGATGCGATGGGTTGTTAAACGATTGGTCGTGAAAAAGGCGAGGAGATAATTTTGTTGGAGGAGACTGGCCTCGCGCGATTACACGTTTCTACATATAGCTTGCGAAGCTTGCCTACGCAGGTAGAAAGTAGATGTTGAGGTAATCCAAGACGCCCTTCCACTCTGTGCGCGTCACCCACTGTCGTCCGCTGTGCGCACACCCCACGTTACTTGCCCATACACGTGTTTTTTTTTCGCTGTAGGAGGCGAAAATGGGCAAGCAGGAGGTGACGGAGATCACTAAGGACATGACCTTGGGCCCCCTGGATGCCTTCAAGAAGAAAATGGGGTTCTAAGAGGGAGAGTGGGTTCTGGTCACCTTTTTTTGGGGGGGGCTTGCCCTCTGGACCGGTGACGGGATAGGAGCACGTCGCCTTACCACAGCGCGGATCGGATCGAAGACAGAGGTTTTACTGCACGCCGCATGGATCCACCATTTTGCGGTATAGAAAGAGCTCGGCGAGTGGTAGGGACGGGTGCATGTGCTGCGATGGGCCATCCCTCGCGTCTCCCGTTGTTCCATCGCTCGCTAGATGTCAGCCAGCGTTAGAGAGCTCCTTTCACCGGCCTGAGAGTGATTTGAAGTTTGACTGTGTGGACAAACACGTGGTCGCATGGCGCCTCCGTCTATATAGGAGTAGCGATGGATTTCGCTGAGGGCGGTGGAGCGGAATGTCGGCCCCGTCGAGCGTGCGTGCGCAGCATTTTCTTCATTCACGATGCCGTTTATAATGGAACGGCAAGAAAACATATTTTTGTGACACGTGCCCCGAAGGCGCCAGCCGTGGGATCAACAGGCACAGATCGATTTCGTCTGCTCGGGGTACCGCAAGCATAGGAGTACCAGGCATGTAGTCGCGTGGCCCTTGTACCAGCACGGGCACAGCGCGGGACGCCAAACTCCGGGCTTTTGAAGCTTGCTCGGACAACATGGATGGTGACGAGGGTGTCTCCGCAGACTACTTGCTGCCCGTAAATGTGATGAGTAGGTGTCGTCGCGGAAGCGCACTACTGCTGTTGTGGGCTAATGTTTCCGGTCTCTTTTTTGTTGCCCTCGTGTGTGAGATGATGTCGCCGGTTTTCTGTGGGGGCCCCATGCCCGAAGCGCTTTGCTAGGCTCTTGGCTGATGTTTGTAATTGCGTGCTTGCCCTTTGATATCGTGCCGAGCACAGACTAAAGATGAATTCGTGCCGCAAGTATTTGTGTTTGTGAGACTTGTCACCAACAGAGTCTGGCTCAAGATGGCGGAGTAGAAAACAAAGCGCTTTGTGCCTGATTGACCCAGTCGCATCTCAGGAAGAACAAGAAGCCTGCTGAAACCCTTACCGTTGCAAACAAATTGGAGGTACCGACCTGACACAAGATACCCCCCGGACCGGTCTTTCAGAGCTCGACTTGTACTGGTACTACACTGCTGTACTTACTGCGCGACGAAGCGAATGATGCGAACATGAGGTTGCGTTTTCGGAAGCTCCTCTCGACAAGACGATTTCAACGCCGCCGTGTTCGGTTTCGGGTGCTGCCACTCTTTCCGCTCTAGAATCAAGCTTTTGAAAAAATCGGCCCAGGGGGTTGTGGTATGCAGTTCTCAGGGTCACCTGGCAGTGTGTCGTGTCAAAGCGAGGCTAAAGTTGACTACTGACGAGACTGACATCGCCTCCGTCACGGCATTGTTTGTGTGGGCTCGAGGATAAAATTCCTCAACATTGTCCTCTCACCCCCTCGCTCTCGTCAAGTGCAGCAGCAGTCTACAATAAATAGTTGTATAACCTCTGTTGATGCTGTTCGTGCGCGACGTATGCTATTTTACAGCACTATATGCCTATGCTGCAGCTGCATATATATGCATTGAAACGATCTACAGCCAGCCGAACTGCTGTAGTTTGCTGTACATTCAACTTTCCGATCAGTACCCTCTTTGTTGTTGCCACTCCGTCTAACCCACCCCCTCGTTGTTGTGTAGGTACACTGGAATTGGCTGAGGTTTTCTCTTTGGCATTCGGATTTGGGGCCTTGCCGTAGGACAGCGACACACACAGAGATAAGATGGGTGCGTATATACTACATGTAGTCTTTCTGTTGAGATTATGATAGGTGTTGAACAACCAACCAACAACCAGCAGACCAGCAGACGATTACTTCAACAACGTACCACAAACGGACGCCCCTGTATCCCGGGCAACCATTATTGCTTCGGGTCCTTGCCGCAAGACATCAGAACAGTTTTTGTTCCGTTCTACCCACGTTCGGGCGCGAGAGTGTGAGAGTACGAGCAGAGTTTCCCCGCACTCCTGCTGGTTGGTGAAATTCTCTCCCGGTGCATCATGTATAGACGGAACATTGCCATGGCTCGCGTGCACGTTCTGCCGGAGTCTCCACACCTGTGCCCTCTCGTGCAGGTCGTGCGTGCGGGGCAAAGAACCACAGTTTGAAAAGTTCCGAATTTCAAACATATAGGAAGAGCTGTTGAATATTTTTCAATAAGTGTACGGTAGATCCGGCCCGAACCCGGAACCCATGAGATATTGGATCTTAGACGGAACGGTCATATGATATGGCGCCGCTTTCTCCTTCACGCTGCCCTCACCCGCCCCAGCCTCTCACTTTTGCAACTTCTTCCTCACCTCGCCTCCACCACACGCGCCCCTCCCTCTCGCATCACATCCTGCCCCACGTCCTCACAACCTTCAAAACCAGGAACTTTTGGTGAGTACCCGTGCACCCCATGGGCCATTGCCGATCCCGGCTCGCGGGCTGACACGGGCTAGACCCGTGCGATGCTTGCTTGCGTAGATGCTGGCGCACAAGTGCGTGGAAGAATAGTGGTTGTAGTGTGATGTTCCAGCTGTGTTTCCAGCTGTGTTTCACCGGTTCTCGATTACATCACAAGGCCACGAGGATATGTGTTGCCCACGCGTCGAGGGCTCGTAGGACAAGGGTGGGTCGCATTCCACGTTTTTTCTGCAGCGAGCGGTGTCGTGCGACTTTTGTGACTACTGAAAGCTCAACAGACAAGTGATGCCCATGTAGGCTGCCGTGCAACTCGGTGGTGTTGAGTATCGATTGCCTCTCTGGAGGGTTCTGGTTTGGATGCTTTCGCCGATGCACCAATAGCATTTGCATTCGTATAGTCGTCGCAGCGCTAACCGTGTAGTGAAATGAACGAGATGCCGTCAAGGCGCTTGGCGCTCAATTGTTGCCGAACACAATTCCGCGTTTGAGAATCCAACGTTTGTTCCAACAGCTTCCAACGATGTCGGATTCGGATAGTTGAAACGTGGAGACCAAAAACAAAATCTGGCTCAACGGATACTCGCATTGATGACATCCTGTTGCTCGATTACTAATTTTCGAGACGTGTGCAGTCCGCTGCGCGGGGGTAACACAACAAGCTTGCCCTAATTATTTCATGTACGATAGCGAGATGTCGGTTTGCAATGCGATGTGTGTATCACCAGTCGAAGCTGTGAGCGTGTACGTCGATGTTTTCGGAAGCAAAAAACACCGGTCGATCCATAGCGCTTGCGCCGTGACATGAAGAGGCTTACTTACTTTTAACACACCTCGCCTGCCTCTGCCGAACCTCGACAGGACCAAGCTGCAAGATGAACAAGACACTCCTCACGATGTTCGCTGGGCCGTTGCTGCTCGCCCTAGCCGTCTCCTCTGCCTCGGACGGAGGATCCTGCTCCACATACGATGAGGATGTGAGAACGCAAACAATGAAACGCGTAACAAGAATAGACAACCGTGAAGACTGCCGTCTGTGCCCGTTGCGATACGAGTACGTGTACCACTCGACTTTGTAACATGATCTAAGACGTCCTCGTTTGTGTGTTCGGGTCCCATCATTTTGTTCTCAACCGTTTTCAGCTAGAAGTCGCGAAACTCCTCGACGGCACGTGCGAATGGGACACCTACATGTGCTGCTATACCAACCACGACTCAGGAGAGGGGGTGACCGCGAACACCGATGTTTGCAGCGTACCGAGCGAGGGCCTCGAAATGCCCGGCGACTCGGAGGGTCCCGTGTACTGGTGAGTCCGTGTATGTATGTCGTGCGTATAAAAACGCCTCATTTAATCTCGACTGGTGCAGTACAGAAGCAACACGGACGCCTTACTTTGCTCTCTTCCTGCTGTATACGTCGATATACTGGAACAGGGCTGCAGCCGTAGCATTCAACAAAACTTACCCCCCCCCCCCCGCCTTCCCTCCATGTTGATGCAATTAATGACAGCCACGGCTTCGCCTGGCCGGAAGGCGCAGACGTCAACAACCACATCCTTCCCCTGTACCATTATGTGAAGAACATTGGCCGCACCGAAGAAGAAGGGGGTTACTACGGAAAGTGAGTCTAGATTTCTTTGGGACACAGCTACACGGCTTTAGCTTTATTATACTGTAAGGTTGCAATGCATGGTCGACACCGTAAGCGTTTCTGGTAAGAGGTTCCTAAAACGTTGATCACCCCTTTAAATGGTCTAGCGGTGACCACGTTGCCGCGGCAACGTTCGGCGACGGTCGATCGTTCCTCGTCACACCGGTCGTGTTGGTAGATTTTGAGTCTGCCTGCTTGATGTATCCACGGTAGACGTGCATAGCTCCTGTTCCGTCTTTCAATCCTGACCGTTCACGATATATGTCTACATTCGCCTGACGCCCGATCCATTTCGCCCAACGTGTGTCGTTTCGCTTTGGTCGTCCGTCGTGGCATCACAGCGTGGAAGGAGCGCCGGAATGCGGGTGCATCGAAGAAATGCCACAAGTGTCTTTCGCAGAGTGCTCCAGGTACGTGGTGGAATTTCGACATTTAGGATTGTTTGTAGCGGCAGTCAACGCAAATCCTGCAGGGTAGTTTCACAATTTGGCTAGTCCAATATTTGTAGCCAGGTCGATTTTCATTTGACTAGCTGTGATGTCGTTGTGAAAAGGTGAGACCGCACCGTCGTTGTGGAGTTGAATTGAAATCCTTACAAGTAGGTTCATGTAAGAACTATTGTGGCAGTTGAAGGCAAACGCATCCGTTTGCTAGCGGAGTATATTGTGTGACCCTTGACGGACCCTTTCCCTTCCCTTCATGTTGCCAGGTTCTCTATCGACGGGATCGGTGAGTGCGGAGAAGGCGGGCTGTACAGCCAATACAACGGCCGCCTGGACGCGCCCTACGGTGAGATGGAACACAACCTGGTGAGGTCTTGCGACAACGCCTAACTGCCCGGTGAGGCAGAGGGCCGGGAGGGCAAGTTCGCGGCGTGCGCGAACAACGACCTCCGTAACCGCTACGAAAAGTGTACCCCGCGGGGAAGCTCGACAACTTCGTCGGCGACTGCGACAACGCCTAGTCGACCCCGGTCCATGGCAGAGGATGAGGATTACTTCATGGTTGCGGCTGGGAATGCTAGTAGGCAGAATTGAGAACTAGACTCCACTCGTAGATGCAAGCATCGAGACGTTGTTGATGCGCAGGCTGGTGCCGTTAAGAGATTTGGGTCTTCCTAGTTGTGCGTGTGGAGTGGGGTGAGTCCATTGGAAGTCTTGCAGCGAAAAACATTTCCACGGTACAGTGCAGATGCAGGGAATACCGTGCTCTCCCGTGGGGTTTCCTGGACATCCATGGCCTTGTTTCTTTTTGGAGCTGGGTGAACTTGAGCGGGTCGGGATGCTGAACGGGTACCGATGGTACGAGACCCGCATGCAGGAATGGGTCGAGTCGAAATTGGTCTCTTGCACGGCGGTAGGATCTGCTTGATGGGTTTCGTTCCCGCAGGATTTTACCGAGGCTATGGTAACACATGTAAATTACTTTATGTCCTATTTCGAACATTTAATTGCTCTCGTTGCGCGCTGATCGTGTTCGATTTGCTCGTTTGTTCGTTGTCCATTTTTGAGCGAAGTTGTGGTAGTGTTTTTATTTGTGTGGTGGTCGGGAACTGCTGTTGTCAGTTTTGGTCAAACATTAAGAAGCTGTTACGCAACATCCGCTTTGCACAATTCCGATGCGTGCAGGATCGCAACATTTCTTCTTGTATGCAGCCCCGAGGTGTGGGACTTCTGGATGTCGAATGTCTATAGGACATTTCCTGGGTTTACAAGGCCGTGCAATCATTTGGATGAGCTTGCACGCTCGTTCGATGTTCCTGCGATGTCGGTTGCTTTCTGTCGATATAATTGTTGAGTGTTGTCGGTTGTGACGGGTTGGCGCGATAGTCTTTCTTGGGAAATAGAGGTTGTTTCGATGCACAAGCACACTGAAAAATGAACAAACGAAACTAAATCGTCCAGTTTTCATTGGAAACGCAAACACACCCGTCCGTGCAGTGGGGCGTGCCGAGTGAACCGGAAATCATTCCGTCTTTGCTCGATTTAATAACGATCTCACCAAGGAAGCAAAGTGCGTCAGAATAACTTCTCGAGGTCGAACGTGCACCTTGAAAAGCCTTGTTGCTCGAGATTCGTTTCTGATAACTCAATATGGAGGTACGGGTTAATTGTTAGTTGAGGTGAATCCGGAAGCACAAACACGCAACTTACTTCGTTAATTAACCACGACATTAACCACGTCATCACCTTGACTGGGCAAGTCAGTATATTCACGTGTTTGTACATGGGTCCTGCGTTTGTCCATGGGACATGCACACCAGCCCCCGCTGTTGCTGCCGCGACCGATCATGAAAATATCAACGCAATTACAAGAAGATTGTCGAGGAAACACCTACTTCGCACACGAAGCCAAGGTGGTGGTGTTGGATGAATGTGGGTAGCTGTATGAACGGCTGGGGTAGGATTACTGTGTGTGAGCTTTCGCATTCATTCGAAATAAAGTCTGCATTGCTTTTAAGTCTTGATGTCTAGATTGATCGCATGGTTGGTTACGTTCTGTGACAATCGGTTTGTTGTGGACGGCACGAGCAGCTCCAGCGTTCCCTCCCAACAGCAGTACACAGCAGTCTTGAATCCATAAGTAATACTCTCTTTTTTGAAATGACCGTACGACTTGCAATTTACGTACAAACAAAACACCCACAAAAAACTGTACCACAATTTTCTTTAGTGCTGTCCCATGTGCACGGCGCACGAACGTACGCGCGCACGCACGAACGTGAAGAAAAAAAACGTACCATCGTGCCATTGGCGGTAGCAAAAGCGATGGGTAGAGTGTCCTGCCGTCGCCATAGATAGAGGGGTAGAATACGACGTAAGACAAAAAAAAAACAAATGATCATCGTTGGGAACTACAGCAGTACACAGCAGTACAGACGTAGCTACTACTACGGCAACACGTGGTCTGTCATGTACCGGAACCCAGCTAACTACTGATTGGTATATACATCAGATGGCGCGCCCTCCCATCACAATGTAAACGTCTGTTTCGGCTCTTCGGGTGTTCGTGCAACGGGCACCGCGGGTAAAAACGAACGAACGAACTTCAAATTGTTCCGTTCGCACGCAGCACGGTTTCGGATCTTTGGTCCGCAAAAACAACGGTCGCATTTGGCCGCTTGCTACATATGACGACCGCACGAATCAGTGTGGTGTTGTGCCGTTCCTTTTTGCTCCCGGTCTCACATACACGCCCTTTGCCTCTCACTCTCGTTCTCTGCGTACGTCGCGTGACTTCTTTGCGCTGTGTCAAGAGCATTGGTGAGTCTCGTGCTTTGTCTGTGGTTGGATGAACCATTCTGCGTTGAGTGAGAGAAAGCTGCCGGGTCTCGCTCGCTTGGTGAGGTAGATCTCGGGCCTGCGTTATTGCCGGACATACTTGCACAACATAACGTTGTGTAGGTTTGCAGTATGAGGAACTACATACAGGTCCTCGAGGTTTGGGTTGCCTGGCACATAAGGATGGAGATCACGATTTCGCCAAGTGTTGGTGCGGAAGTCTTGCGTTGCCGGTTGCATCGCGCCTATGTCGCGACGAAACAGGTCTCTCGTTACAAGGAGAAGCAAATTGCAAGAATAAGAAGAGGTGCGCCAGCCTTTCATTCGTTGACCTGGTGCCGTGTGATTACTCGCTCCGCAAGTGCCTTTGGCTCGGAGGAACAAAAGCCCAGGGCGATCGCTTTGAAGCACAAACAGCTGTGCTACACTTGCACATCGACTCCAACCTTGTGCTGCCCTCAGCGTTCGATGCTCCACACTGGATACTCTAAATATTGAACACGTGCGGATACTGAACGATGCGTACGGGTCCGGAACGGGTAACGTGTAAATTTCTGCTCCTTCGTTAAAAGCAGTACCTAATACCTACCATGCAGGTGGGTATTTACGGCGTGAAGCGGCCTAGCTGGCGTTCAATTGCGTTTGAGCCAAAAGGCGACCCTTACTTTGGCCCTTTCGACTCCAGTCACGATGATATCTGCATACTTCGTATGTACAGTGGTACAGCAGTGTACTACTGTCGTTCATTTGAGAATGCGGAAAAATGGCGTGTGCAATGGGAACACAAATTTGAACGGTCTTCTTGTGTCTTCTCTTGAGTAAGTTGCACGTGCGGCTCACAGGTCGAGGTTGTGTCTGCGAGAGGTTGGCCTCTAAAGGAAACACGGGCCAACGGTCGACCTTCAGCCCTTGTTCAATACCCCAAAATAATTGGGATACGAACTACTGCTGTTGCGCGCAGTGGGATTCGAACTACTGCTGTTGCGCGCAGTATTGAATGCCTTCACTCATTTCGCCGAAAGAAAGTATCGGAGGCTCTGCAGACTGCTCATTGTATCCCCTCCCTCGCCCATTGATGCCCAATCGTGTCCCCAAGCAGATTCCCGCAAGATGCACACGTCATTCCTCTCTGTGTGCGCTGGGCCGCTGCTGCTCGCCTTGGCGGCCAACGCCTGTGACGACTCCAGCGCGCCGGCGCCGACCCCTGAGTACTCGGGTGACTCTTCCAAGGGGACGACCCCGTCGCCCGTGTCCCCTGCAACGTCGCCGACCGACACCGTCGTTGCCTTCGCGGACTCGGATGACTATGTCGAACCCGAACCGACAGACGATGACGGGGAGGTCGAGGACGAAGAGGGCGTGCCGCTTGAAAACGATGGTGACGGGGAGGTCTGCTCCACCTACGACGAGGATGTGAGAATATTTTTTGTGGCAAAATTCAATTGATTGTGCGTTGCAAAGGAGTGTGTTTGGCAGCGATACAACGCCATGCTTTACACAGTACTGCTGTAAGTGCGATTGTTTTTTTAAGGTTTGACATTGGTTGACACCCTGTCTTGGGTAGTTGGAGTGGCAGATCCTCTCGCCTCACGCTGTCAGAAAATAAATGTCAAGGCATTATCTTGCTGTGCCTCGTTGCCCTACTAACCCGAACACTTCAGGTGCATGTCGCCTATCTCCTTCCGGAAATGTGTGAGTGGAACACGTACATGTGCTGCTGGACCGGCAACGATGGACCCGACGGGATGACCTCAAACACCGACGTCTGCCGCGTGTGGGACTACCCGGAGGAGGGAAACTCCCTCGAATTTCCCCGAGATTCAGAGGGCTCCGTGTACTGGTGGGTAAATGTAGTGTCGCTTGGTGTATGTTGCACCTTGTTTATATTTTTTCGGGAACGAACGCGGTTACGTACCTACCCACAGATAAGCAAGAGGGCGTGAACAGTAAATTACGGATTCATATTTCGTACATACACGTTTTGTTTCTTCAAAAAAGTGTTTATTGCAGTAGTCTCTACCTCTACAGTACATAACACTCGTTTTGGATTGGTGCTGGTGCTTCAAAGCGCCTGCAGCGTTCGATGCAGGGTTGTTTTGACACCCGCCCGCCTCCTCCCTCTGTTCTGATGCCCACCATGACAGCCACGGGTTCGGATGGGCAGACGGCGCAGACGTGAACACCAACATCCTCCCCCTGTACCACTCCGTGATCAACACCGGCCGCACCGAAGAGGGGGGGTACTACGGAAAGTGAGTCGCGAGATACGGTATGTATGCATATCATCTTTTCTCCTTTGGAAGGAAATCGAAACAAGAAAAACAGGTTGGGTTGCCTTTGCTCATGTCAAAACATGTATACGAAAAAGGCTTCAACGGAAACCTGGTATACGGTTCGTCGACGCTATTTGCATCACATGCTGCTATAAGGAAGCGGTAGGTGAGACGAAACACTCAACGTGATTTCTTTTTGGGCGTTCCCCGCAGTCTGCGCGAAAGGGAAACAACACCTTGAATGCGGCCTTGGCTAGAAATGTTGGAAGGAGCGGTCGCTTGTAGGATTACCGTCGTCTTTCTCGGCTGGGGTTTCCAGAGGTAAAACAGTACATCTAGGTGGTTCCACTGCCTCGTGGTGGCGCTGCATGGAGTGTGGTGCACGCGTCGACCGGCATTCGATGACGGGTTCTCCCCTTAGTGACCCGTGCCTCGTAACACATCATCCGTGCCGTTTCTTCGTTTTCCCACGAGCGCCGGTCGTATACTGGGAAACGATGTCTTCACTTCTGTTTTTGTCGCGGATGCCATGATTGTCCTTTCACCAGCCGCGGACGTTACGCCTCTTTCCCAATTCTTCCTCCGCGCGCCAATGCTGTGCATGGTGCGTATTTTCCTCAGCCGTGGGGCGGGTGTCTATCGCGTTTTTAACACTTGATCCCATCTTTGCACCTCTCGTCATTTTGTGCGCCCGGTCGGTCGTCGTTCTTTATCGTTTTCCCACAATCTCGTCTGCAACATGGCAGCGTGGAGGGGGCGCCGCAATGTGGGTGCCTCGAGGAAATGCCGGTGGTGTCGTTCTCGGAATGCTCCAGGTACGACGCATACCAAAATATTTTTTCTTGAAAAACGTTTCTAGTGGAACCTCGTGTTTAAAATTTTTGCCGAAGAACGGAATGGAAATCCAGGTATCCGGGGGACACCTCTCGTTTGACCGAAGCTTAATGCGTCCTATTCTGCGTCCCGACGGTTGGAAGCAAACACGAAAATGCACGAGGGCACCTTGTGTCTAACAGCCCGTTGCCCTCGTTTTTGTAACGCTTTTTGTGTCGATTGTTTTCAGATTCGATGGCGACGGGATCACGGACTGCGGAGAACACGGGCTGTACAGCAACTACGTGAGCCGCATCGACGAGCCAAACGGCCCGTTGGAGGACAATCTTGTGAGGATTTGCGACAACTACGACGTTCCCGACTTCGACTTCCGCGAGTGCGACAGCCACACGTACATGTGCTGCTGGACGGAGAACGACGCGAAGGGCGTGCTGGACAACACGGTGAGACTTCGTACATGTATCGGCCTGGTCGGCCAATTTTCTTGAGTTTCACTAAGAAGTATTTTTCTCTTGAGGTACTGGTTGGTTTTTCTGGAGATGGCTCGTTGACGTTGATGCTGTCGCTGAATCTCTCGTTGTTTGGGATGGCTTTGTGGGACGAACCAGTCTCGCAGAGAGAGGAACGATGGATTTGTCCAGGAAGTCCCCATGATGCTAACTGCGCGTGCTGCTTGTGTTTCGTTTTCGTGCCTTGCAGGACGTGTGTCGCATACACGACTACCCGTCGGCGGGCGAGACGTTGGAGTACCCCGGCGACAGCGAGGGAGATGTGCACTGCCACGGGATCGTATGGCCCGAGGACGCCACCGACAAGTACATCCACCTCCTGGCGCAGTACGTGCAGACCTTCGACCACATCGGCAACAAGGGCTACTACGGAAAGTGAGTCGTTTGGGGCATGTGTTGTTACTACTTACGAAGTATGTTGCTGCGGGCATTTTCGCCTCTGCTTTTTCTCATCTTCTTCACGGGCACGTCAGCCGCTTCTAGCGGCAACCCTTTTTTTTTTTTTGAGTGGCGTTCTTGGACGTGTTTCTCGGTAAACTGCCCCGAGTCGTTCGGAAGTGGGAGTTGGGCCAATTTTTCTGTTGAAAATCACGAGAGTCGAAACAGGCAGACGGCCGTACGACCTACACAACGAAATGTAACAAGGCGTACTTGGGGAGATCACGCAACACAAGTTGCAGCACTCTGCTTTAGTGCGCGCCGCACCTTCACAAGCTGATCGGGGTCCCCTTATGGGGACAAATCGATCTCTGGTTTGACCAGAGCAGGCGTGGTACCAAACAAAAGAAAATGTACCACAGCCACACGCAGGCGTGGTACCAAACAAAAAAAATGTACCACGGCCACATGACACGCTGGTAACGAATAGTACCTCGCTATTGTACCCCTCTCCGTTGTCCTATTCATTCTTATCAGCATCGAGGGCGCGCCCATGTGCGGCTGCGCCGAGGACATGCCGGAGGTTAGCAAGGCCGACTGCACCAACTACTCCCCCACTGAGGAGGACGAGGACAGGATCAGGGGTTGCGATCCCAACGATCTCCGCACCCGCTACGATGTATTGTACCCCGATGGGGACCTTGACAACCTCGTCGGCCGCTGCGACAACCAGTAGAGCGTCGCCCTTCCTGTGATTGTCCGGTCATTGGTCTTGCGGAAGTTGCCACTGCTGTAGGATCACACGACTCGAGATGAGGCGCAGGCTTGCTTGAGAATCGAGCATCAGACATGTGAACAGAGCCGGTCGTGGTTGAGAGGATTTTAATTTCCCGGATGTCAAGTTTTAAGATGCTCGGCAAGTTGTTCTTCCTGTTGATGGTTTCGAGTGACCCAAGAAACCTTTCCCAGTTTTGCACAAGGCTTTCAATTCTAAGCCCCCGGAACATTTGTATTTTAACCTTTTTCGGGTCCAGTGGGATACTTCGTTTTCGTTGTTGGTGCTGCTGGCATCCCACCCCGTGTTCCTGTGCCCTGTGTCGGCTGGGCCATCGTACCACCTTACCCCCCCTGGTTCGGTCTCTGTTGGATGTCATTGTAATATATTCAACATGTTCAGTGTTGCTTTCGGGTGTTCGATGTGTTGAGTTTCGTCGCTTCCCTATTTGTGTTTCTGGTGTTGTTTCTGTGTTGGAAAAGGTCCTGATGAGGGCCTTCGGCAAGTGTCTCATTAAATAGGTGCGGTAATGTGTTCCTGCTGTGTTGCTCTTGTATTGGACACTCAGCTCGTTGCTTATGTGTGTGTTTAGAGTTCAACTTCATTTACGTGGCTGGAGGGATAACTGATCACAACTTGGCATGCCTGGAAAGCATGCCTTGATTTTCTTCGTGCTGAAGGTAATTTCGACGATTGAGGAAACAACGCTGGCCCTGAGGTCGGCGTCCCCTGCTCTCTCGGAAAATTGGATCGTGTGAACCTCCACCCTTGTAATGCACACGAACATGTCTTGGAACTATGAATATATATGCACATGTATCGAAACTGCAATCAATCGTTGTAAATGTTGGAATGCATCACAAAATTAGAAAAATGATGCAGACATGTTTGTTCGTGGAACTGAGTATTGTGACGTCTTCGCGGACGCAGCGCATACGTGATCAACAAACAACCCAACTGAACAATGCGAAATACTTACACCCTGAACAACTAATACATCCTTCGTTTGGAAGGGTTCAATTCAACTACCCCCCGTAGCAGGCGATCGGAATCAAGTACCGTAACGATGCTAGAGAACGCACGGGGGGTGTCAGCGTTATTCAAAGCTGTTTTGACTTCAAGCTGGAATTCTCCACACCCAAAGTTATCCCCCGTACCTATCCGACCCGCCAACCCTCCCCCCCCCCCCCCCCCCGGGGAGGGTACGGGTAATTTTTTTCGGGGTACATTTTTGTACAGGCTTTATTGGCTTTCTCCCTCTCCTATTTCGAGTGCTTGCGTGTGTTGTTGTTGTTTTACGGCACGCGTACAAGATAGGGCCCGGAGATAAGAAACGTCAATGTCGGATGGAGCCTCAATTTCATACTCTGAGCGGAAAGGACCAGCCGAAGTCGGCCAACTTCTTCAAACGGATTTTTATTTGTTTTCCTTTGGGCTGTCGCATCCTCCTGATGATTCTCTCATCTATCTCCGTTTTTTCTATTTTCTTATTTCTAGCGAAGAAAACAACAACACACCAAGCCTTCATACAGCGTTGAACCGACAGCTCGGTGTGGCGAACACTGGGTGGGGTTCTGGCAGTCCAGCAGCAGTGGGTGGCGCAGCCCGCGGCCGCTCTGGGGCGCAGGGGACGCCGCGTAAATATCCCTCTACCCGCCCGCCCCCTTCCAAAAATTACATGACATGAGCTATGAATAGATAGGGAGGGGGTGGGAGCACGGCAGCAGCAGCGGCAGCAGCAGCGAGAGGCGTTTCTTAATGGACACGCTCCCCCAGCTTGTATACCCGTTGTTTCTTTTGTCTTGGGGTATCGCACGATCACATGTTTCTTATTGGGACGTTTCTTATGTTGAGGCCGAGATTGAGCTGCGTTTCTTATTAGCCCTTTTTTCTTATTTTCCGCAAACATTTGGGCCTATTTTTCTGAACAGATTTTTGCTTAATTGTGGGCTCTATCTGAACGCGCACAAAAGGACCTTGATACCAGGTAGTAGTTGTTTGATAAGTTTGAGATAATCAATGGTGGTGTGTACGTCCGGCGCCGGAAGATTGCCACTTCGAATAATAGCTAGCTGTGATGGGCGGGCGACACTTAAAACTTCTGGTTGATTTTCAAGTCTTGAAGTACACAGTGAGTGCTTGTTGTTGTGGGGACAACCCCGCAAGCTAAAGTAACTCAGAACTTCTCAATGCTTCGGCGACAAGTCCGCGACATTTGACCGTGGGCGAATATGGCGAAAAAATACACACGAGGACCAAAGAGGACGCAAAAAAACACCATGCGTCGAAACGTCATAAACAATCCAAGCTTCAAAACATTCCGGAGAGGAGGGGCTGTTGATGAGCCTATACGGCGGTGGCATCACCTTCGCCACGTGCAACGGCCGGAAACAATTGCAACTTGCCGTGCGTTGTACTTATTCACTCCCCCAAGCCCCTTCACCTCCCTCAACAAGACTACCGTAGACGTCGGAGTTCCCCCCCCCGGGGAGGGGATCGTTTTTTTTTCTGAAACCAAGAAGAGGAAGGGCCCGCTTTCCGGTGACAAACTGCTGTACACCTTAATGTCGCTCAAAGCGCAGATCTGCAAGTGAATTTTCCGTCCCATATCATGCTTTTTGTGCTCCCCGATGCAACAAAATCGACTCAGATAATTAGAGAAATACGGGGGAAACTCGTGGGAAGACTGGTACCCCGGGGGGGAAATTGAAATACCCAGGGGGATTTTTTTTTTTGGTCGAAAACGATCTATAACCCGGGGCTAAATCAGAGAAACCGTGCTTCCAGGCCGAAAAGGTAATGGGGGGAGGGGAAAACTCTACTGGGGGGGGGGAAACTCCGACGTCTACGGTAAACCGCCGTTTCTTCGAGCGATTTCGCGTCGAGCACCTCCTTTGCCCTGCCTCCTCCACCCTCCCCCCCCCCCTCCTCCTCCCCCCTCCTCGTCCTCCTTCCTCCCCCTCTTCCTCCCTCCTCCTCATCCTCTTCCTCCTTTCCGTCCCTGTCCGCCACCTTCTCCTCCTCGAAGTCTTCCTCCGATTCGGAGGTCTCCTCCTCAACCGAGTCCCCCTTATCTGCTGACGATCTGAGAGTGACTCGCCGTCTGTACTACAGTACTGTTTAACTGTATAACCCCCCCCCTGCCCCCGGCGAGACCTTACGGCGGGCTAACGGGGCTTTACCACAATCGTACTCTTCTGGTGTGGGACCTTTCGGCGTGTAACGGGGGCTCTGGCAGTCGAAGGAAGGGCCGTCTTGTCGAAGGGGTCGTTGATAGGGATCCCCTCTCAAAGGAGACTGCTCATCTTGACCACTCCTCCCAAGCAAGCGTTCTCTCTCTCTCTCTCTGCTACGGACGGTACCGCGGCTGGCTGCGGTGCACGCAAGCCCGCCAGGGGCTACGTGGATTGTACTGTACATCCCCGTGCATGAAATGTGCCCGGTTCATATTGGATTTAGTGTGGGCTTGTTTATATAGGAAATTGTATGGCGTTGGGGGGGGGGGAGGAGTTTTGTAACGCCCCCTCCCTTCCCGGAGAGGTCCAAACTAATTGTTTTTTTGTGCGCTCGTCAAGCAAGATTTTCAGTCGGTAGTTGATTGGAAGCAAGTGGCAAAACATATATATACCGCCTGGATGTCACATGGTTCTTTCATCAGACATCGGTACCGTTTGTCTTGGATATTGTGAGGCCACCTACAGTACGACGTCACTACCCGAGGCTCTTGCCCAAGCAGTAATACGAATGTTCGAGGATTGAGGACTGCCACCGCTCCTCCTGTGAGTGATGATGCTGTCGGCGGATGCACTCAAGATAAGCAACAAGGTGGTGATTGTAGATGTAGCTAGGCACAAAGCGGCATGATCTGTTTCCTAACTGCTGTTGAGTAGAGTTTGCGATCACTTGAACACCCACATCGATCCCGCCCGCAGTGAGTGGTGACAAAGCTTGACTGAGATGTATATTCTCGATGCTTGGCGTGTCGCTAGTCGCTAGTGGTGAGTAATTTTTTCGATAGACTTTTAGGATGAGGTGATACTATTTGTGGGTTGGTGACTGACGGTGCCGGCACGCTGCTGCTGCTGTACATATGTACCTCAGAATTAGAAAATGTTTTTTCGTTCAATGAAGTTTCTATGGAAGCTTCTCTCGGCCCTCCTGATGAACTGTTGTTGTTGTTGATGTTGTTGCCTCCACGTAAAAAAAACGTGCCGATCTCTCTATACGGTAAGTACCACCTCCATCTTTTTGTCCGTAGTAGTCTACCACTTAACGCGTTCAGTTGTGGTCACAGGCTAACTTGCCCAAAAAGGGTAGACGCGAAGGGGTCCGTCCGCGAGTCGATAGAAATCAACCACGGGTGGTCGAGAACCCTCCGTTCGCCTCCACACGCTATGCGAGGTAAACATAGACTAGAAGACAACATCGCGGGCCAGAGAGGTAGGGATATTCCCTGGTTCAATCTTGGTAGAAACTTTAACGAGAAAACAGGAAATAAAAAAGACAAAGGCACATGCCCGAACCACTACTACTACTGTGCTGTGCTGGTAACGACCAAACACTCAAACAAAACAAGGGCCACCAGGGACAACAAAAGTCACGTCACTGCTTATGGGGGGTTGGTGCAATGGTGCAGTGATGAGGTGGGGGGGCGGGGGTTCAGTCAATCAGGGGTTCAATCCGGCAAATATCGCCCCACTGAGTCCGCCTCTTCTCGTTTGCGTTCTTCCCTCGCCGCCTCGTCCGTCTGTTGCCCCCTTCCGGCCCATTGATTGTTCCCATGTCCGTGCTGTTGCTGGGCTTGCTGTTTCGTGTGAGCGCTCGCTCGATGTCGGCTAGCCTCCTCCTCATCCTTGTGCCAGGGGGTCATGAACCTCTTAGCTCCCTGCAGTACCGCCGTATGCCACGGCGGTACACCCAGCTCCGCCTTCGCTGCTTCCGTCCCAGTTGCTTGCGGGACTCCGAAAACACATGGCTCGGCGTCCGTCCGTAGATTTGTGCTTTGCCTCGAACATCTTGAGGTCGTCCTTCACGCACATCTGCCAGTTTTGATGCGATTGCCCCCTGCCTGGGTCTCCCCCCCTCAACGGCCTTGCCAATTCTCCCCCGAACAGAAGGTGCCGTTACCGTACAATGGCTTCTACGCTCTGGCACCTTGCCCTGTTCAGGGTCTGGGCGTAGGAAAGTTGACGGTAGGTGTCCATCTGGCGTTGGTAACCGATAACTCGCAGGAGCAGCCGGTGATGTATCGACCGCAACAGCCGGTAGTGTTTTTGACGTGGGGGCCATTTCATGCAACCGTAAGGCAGTGCCTCCATCGCCTCCACCCGGAGCAGGCGCGTCTCGAGTCGGAACGATGCTCTCGGCCTGTCGAAGAGCTCCCGGCCATATATCCTGACGCACGCCCACGCTGCTCTGCTCCGGTAGTTGATCTCACGGGTGAGGTCGCGATGTTCGTTGACGAGGCCACCTAAGTACCGGAACTCAGTCGATCTGG